AAAAAAAAAAAAAAAAAGGCAAACACAAGTTGTCCATTAGATGTTCATAACCCAGGGACTTACTAAAATCCTAACTCAGTTTTTCAAAAGTCATTGATTTGATTTAAGTAAATCCACATACACTATTATTCTCTTATGCGGTGTAGTAAATTACTTAGTGTGGCTTTTCTACCCATAAGTCTTTGTAAACTCTGAGGTGAAATTTGCCATGAGCAACTGAGGAGCTCCTGATTGCTAAAGTTGTCCAGCTGGGGTATTTCTGTTGGGCATGGCACAAAACAATGTTCTGGGAGGGTCCTGCTCTCTCTCAGGTGCTTAGAGTTCTGATGTTATAATTGGTTGGTTTGGCCGCTCTGCCAGGCTCAAAAGGAGGCCTCCTAGAGGCAGAAGACTCTCTGACGGCTGGCTGAGGAAGGATGCACTCCTGAGACACGAGCTGCTGGGAAAGAGATGCAAGAGACACACACTGCTGAGAGAGACACCGAGGGACATGCACTGCTGGGAGAGAGACTGTGAGAGACGGCAGGCTGGGAGAGAGACTGAGCATTTTTCCTGAACTCGAACTGTAGCCTGGTGCTTCCCTAATAAACCCCATAATCTGTGAGTTCCGTGTGGCTACTGCAGTGAATTATCAAACCCAGAAGAAAGGTGGTGAGTGCTGAGGGAGGAATGGCTGGTGTCAGGGTTGGTGAAAGGGCTGGAGGGAGGCAGCATGTCTGGCCTCACAGGAATAGGCCTTGGGCTACTGATGGTGATTCTGTCTTCCTCTTGTGGGGTTAAAAGAGGTCAGGAGATGTGGCTTCCTTGCCCTTTAGCACCAAAGAAGGAATTGCCTTTACAATTTCTTTAACAAACTGTCATCAGCCTCTACATGACCATCCCAGGGAGAGGTTTATCTGTAAGGTATGCCTGGAGTTGGATGGTTGTAATTACTATAAATCTTTCTTCCAAATTCTAGCTCCTTCTATTTACCTTAGTTCTACTCGACACCAGAATTATGGCTTGTAGCAAGAAAAACTGCATACAAAGTAGAAAAGAGAAAAAATATTTCTGCTTGAGATTTCTATCAAGGACCATGACTTTATACACACACATCTGTACACACAAACATACATGAATACATACATACATGTTGTTGTCATGTGCCATGAAGTCGGCCCTGACTCATAGCACCAGAGCTTCCACGTACATACATATACGTACGTATATCAAACTATAGGAGCTCTGGTAGTATAGTGACTAAGGCACTTGACTGCTAACCAAGAGGCTGGCGGTTCAAACCCCCCAGCCACTCCTTGGAAGGAAGGGTGGGCAATCTACTTCCATAGTGATACCGCCTCAGAAACCCAAGGAGGGATCGCTATGAGTCAAGGCCGACTCCACAGCACATGCCAAGAATAACAACATATCAAGCTATGTTTTAAGGTGGTTTTTCTTTGCCCACATATTATGACCACCACAAGAAATATATATATTCTCTCTAAGACTTCCAGTGTTACTCACATACATAACCATGTACTCATGCAATATGATCACCCTGATATTTTTCTTACAAGAGGAAGAAAAACCATCCCACAATGACTTACACAGAGAAGGCACTCACTAAATACTTGCTAAATGAATACTGTTTAGAAAAAAAATCATTACATGAAATTACATTTAAAAAAAAAAAAAAGCTGGGTCTTAATCTAACTGTATAGACAGTTCCAAACTGGCCTGCACACAGTAGGCTATATTAGGTGGGCTATATTAAGTAGTTGCTGAATGAATGTTGTTCCAAAAACTATGTTACATGGAGCGACATTTAAAAACAACTGGGTCTCAATTTAACAGCTGTGCAATATCCTGAATTTTACAGTAAGGAAATCTTTATTCTACCTTGTCAGCCAATTGATATCCCAAAACAAATCACAGTAAAATTAGAGATCTATAATATATCAGTTCAGGCCTAAAAATATTGTTAAATGAAATATCCTAACCTTTGCCCAGTACACAACATACTCATTCCCTTGAGTATCATAACATCAATGTAGTTATCATCACATTGGTGCTGGCATGACATCAATCAGCAAGTCTTGTTCCTATGTGGCCAGTCAATAATAAAAGGCTAAAGTTAATGTCTGACTTGCTACCATTCACAAATGATTTTGACTACAATTAATTCATTTTTCAGTCACTAGATGCCACATAAGCCCACAGTGGTCCAGATTTCAAATTCAAAGTGTGTTGGCCCTGACTATGAAAACCTACCAGTGTTGTAGTAGGAGCAGAAACAGTCGCTTTCAGACTACTCAATTCTTGCTGGATTAACTTCTCTTCCTCCTGAAAAAGTGAAAATATTTAAGCCTCTGAGTAATTACTATCTTACACTATACCAGTACTTTTAAAGGGAAAAATACATAAAAGTTTCCATTAAGAAAAATTATATTAAGCAGAATTGTAAAAATTATGTGTTTAACACTTGCCTAAAGGCATCTCTCCAACCCTCAGAATCATCCCTGGAGAGCATAAATATTTCCAGACTAACTTACCATTCCTCTTTTCTTCATTCAGTCACTGTCCCCTTAAACAGTGTCTAGCAAAAATGGTTAAAAGAAATTTAAGGTAGAAATAGAGTTGAAAAGAGTTTCTCCATCTACTGGCCTTTCCCTCACTTCCTGTCACACACACAGAGAGCAATAAATAATATGGTCACTTCTCTTTGCATTTTATTTCAAACCCCATATAAGCACTTAAAAATTGCCTCCATTGTTGGCTAATATAAAACTCTTTAAATTACACTGAATTAGCAAGTATTCATTAGATGGCTAAAAAAGAACTATTAGTGAAGTAATGTCACATTGGAATACTTTATGTACATTTTCAAACTGTAATTTGAAACAATTTTTTTTAAAAAAATTCATTCAGCACCTCATAAAAACTACCAAAGGACAAAATATTAAGACAAACAATATTAAATCCACAAATGATGATGGAATGTAAGCAGACTCTCTCCAGTGAAAGATCGTCTTATTTCAGCTTAAAAAGAACATTTTAAACCCACAGAGCACTTTTTCTTCTCTCATTGTACTTCTATTGCATTAGTCATACATATACTTGTCTGAAGCCAAAGATGGATGAAAAATTCCTTGGGATGGGGTACATGTTTTACTCCATTTCCTGCTGTGTTTAACACACAGCCTTGCTCCATAAAAATCAGTCGAAGGTGTTCAGTGACTCAGTTCTACCTCCTAGTTCACTGTGTAGTACCTGGGGTCTCAAAAGCTTGCAAGCAGCCATCCACAGGCATGACAATTTGTCTCCATTCACCAGGAGCAACTGAGGAAGAAGAGGAGTCAGGAACGGGAGAATATAATGTGTGGCTAATTGCATACATAAAGATCTAGAAGACAGTAACCAGTATCATTGAATTTATATGTAGAAACTGTTCAATTGGTGTATGTTTTGCTACGTATATTCTCAAGAACAGTAAAACTAGGTTTTTAAAATCTTATATCCAATGACTGATAAAAACAAATCTGGTGAACAAACTATGGCATAATTTGTGATCTTTCTAAGACACAACCTTCTTAAAGCTTTAAATCAGTATCTTATACAATCCATGTGACTTCAAGATGCATCTAATATACATCCACACTTACTCCTCACTTACCAAATACCTTATTATCTGACATATCACATTTATGACAAGAGCAAAAAATCATCTGATTATTCTGCACATTAATGACATTCTTCTGGCAGTGATGAACACAAATGTGCCAGGCAAGAGTAACGCTGGCTGATGGTTAAGGTTATGTGTCAACTTGGCTGGACCGTGGTTCTCAGGAGTTAGATAGTTATGAAATGATGTAATTTAGCAGTTACATAGTGATGCAGTCATCCTCCATTTCCACATACGGCCTGGTCTTTGAAATCAGATCACAGTACATGTACATAAGTGAAGTGTGAGTGTATTAATCTCCGTGAATCCAGAATAAAATAGAGGGAAACCAAAGACCCAGAGAAAAAAGTAGTCTATGGGAGTAATAGTCTAGATGAACCAGAACCTCATCTACCCCGAGACCAGAACTAGATGGTGCCTGTCTACCATTACTGGCCATTGTGATCAGGAACACAATACATGGATCCTAACAGAATGGGAGTAAAATGTGGAACAGAACTCAAATTCCCCAAAAATCAAGACTTACTGGAGCAGTGGAAACTGCAGGACTCTCCAAGACCATCACTCTGAGATACTCTTCAAACCCTGAACCAAAACTATTTTCTTTGAGGTCATCTTTTAGCTGAGTAACATACTGGCTCATAAAATAAACAGCATCATCTGTCTGTGCTCCTTATCATATATGAGACCAAAACAGTCAACATTTACTCAAAGCAAAGAGAAGGTAAGGGGGCAGGGAAACTAGAGCACTGGAAGCAGAACAACCAGAATGGAAATGATGAGAAAGTTGACAGACTGTGAAAAAATGTAACCAATGTTACTGAACAAATGTGTAGCAATCATTAAACAGGAACTTAATTTGACGTGTAAACTTTCAACAAAAACACAGTAAAATACAACTAAAATCGGTCTACAGGAATTTAACAGCTATCAAATTATAACTGCTCATTTTCAAAGTCTGTCTGAAGCAGAAACTCACTCAGCAAATTTTACATTTTGGGAGAATTATGCTTTTTCTTTGTCCAACCAGTTGGTCTAACCTAAGAACCTCAAGATGTTCAACAGCAGGTTTGATGACATAATCTGTTCCGGTGTGTGACATCTAGCAGTTGAAGATACTGAACAAGAAAAAAAACTAAGTAAGGAAACTTTGTGGGTAAATGTCTGACATTTCATCGCACTTGCTAGTTTCACACACTCTGCATTTCACCTAATCTTCAAAACAACCTATTATTTTACTTTTCTGTTGAGAAAATACACTGTGGCTCGGACAAATGAGAGAGATCTCTGCCCCTTTTAAAAGAATGAGTCAGTCCACGCCAAATACAGAATTGGAAAACCAGCCCCTGTTGTCAGTCCAGACGGTAAAGGAAAGCTTCCAGGCACACAGATCGACACAAATGCATTCTGCATGAGTCGTCAGAAAGCCGACCCAGGAGACGCCAAAGGCCCCGGGATCTCAGCGCCCGGCCCAGGACTTTTCAGCTTGGGGGCCTTTCCCCGGCGTCCCTGACCTCCCGGGCCCGACGGGCACCTACATGCTTGGAGGTGAGCGCGGTGATGCCGCGGACCAGGCCACCCAGCCGTGAGGAGAAAGACGCTTTGATCGACGCGGCCCCGCCACCCAGCTGGTTCTGCAGGAACAGTCCCGGCAGCGCCGTCAGCGTCTTCTCCACTATGTCGCTCATTGCGGCCTTCGCTACCCCTGCCGCCGACGCCCGTACTCGCTTTCCCTCCAGGCCTCATGCCCGGCCCCGCCGTTGCCGGCCCGGCCACCGTAGGCACTTCCTGTTTGTTTGAAAAAGAAAACTTTATTCGCGTCCCATATGAACAAACCCAATGGCGCTCTTGCGAGGGAAAGAGAGAGGCCACCAGAGGGCGCAAGAGTCCGAGGAGAAAAAGCTGCTTACTCAACCTAGTTCACACAGGTTGAGTTCCCATGGAAACGTAACTGGATCCGACACTGTGTTTCCATCGCAACCTCCAGTTCTAGCGCACCTTGACTTCTCTTGTGGAAGCCGTTGGGGGCCGTGCCTCTTACACTTTGTTTCCCAGAGTTTCAATTTCCCTTTAGCCGCCTCTGCGCTACCCGAAGCTGCATCAACAGGTCTACATTCCTGGACTACCCCTTTTAGGGACATTCCCGCTCGACCACCCCTCACTGCGGCACAACGTACAATCCTCCCACTTCCTTCTTCCGGCCCCTTAAAGTTGGGTTTGCAGTGGGTGCTGGGCATGGCTCTGCCCTGGCGATGCTGAGGACGTTGTGTTGTTGGATGAATGAACCACGCATCTGTCTGGAATTCATCGTGCGGGGTTCGGAGCCTGCAGCGTACCGGGGACCCGTAGCCGCTGTAGCTTCCAGTCCCACCCCTCTTCTCTGTTGCTTGGGGGAGGTAGATAGGAAGAAGTGATCTAGTGCCCCATCATCACCACCTTCACCACCACCGCCGCCTGGCTGATACAGCAGGTGGCAGCTTAAGGATCACTTTCCCGGAGCAACCCTTTGCCGGCGGGGTAGACGAGCTGAGGTCTTCCTGTGCTACCCTCTCTCATAGCACTTCGTTCTTTTCCAGTTTAGATCTTATCATAGCTGCCACTACATAAATATTTATCTCCTTATAGTTCCTAAGACATTTGACTTCTAACTAGAAGACTAGCGGTTCAAATCCACCAGCCACTCCTCGGAAGGATGACAGGGCAATTCACTTCCGTAGAGATAATGCCTCGGAAGCCCGAGAAGGAGTCGCTATGAGTCGGAGTGGACTCCTGGGAAGTGAGTTTGGTTTGTTTTTGTTTTTTATAGCGAAAATATATTGGACAGTGATTCACTGCTATTCATAAAGTTTTCAGACTTCCTCTCATCTTCTTCGGTCATATTGTGAGAAGGCACCAATCCCTGGAGAAGGATGTCATGCTTGGTAAGGCGGAGGGTTGAGGAAAGAAGGGACGGCCCTCATCGAGGTGGATTGACACGCGCAGCAGCAATGGGCTCAAGTGTAGCAAGAATCGTGGAGCTGGCTCAGGACCCGACAGTGTTTCGTTCTGCTGTCAATAGGGTCGCTATGAATCATAGACGACTCAAGGCACTTAACAACAACAACATGGTAAAGTTATGTGCATTTTCAGAGATTGATTCAGTTTGTTTTCTACTGTGTCTTATCACTAACTTCATTATCATTCAGTGAATGATTTTTTGAAACCCCAAAGTTTTCCTTGCATGTACACAGAAACATAAGAAAAAAGTACACTTTGTTCACTTGTTTTTGCAAGATATCTCTTAAAATTTATGAAAACTTTTCTAAATATTTAAATTTTATATTATTATTTTTAGAATTTAATATTTTATTCTAAATATAAATGTATTTATTTATTTTTAATGTTAAGATCTTTCATTGGCTTAGAAGACTTACTTTTCCATCCTTCCACATCTAAAGATAATGGAAAAGATACCAGCACCAGTATCACAGCATTCGCTCACTCATGGAAGGGAGAAATACAACTGAAAATGCAAATAAGAAAGGTATCACAAAAGCTATCTTTTTTTCTCTTGGCTTTACACATGTTAATCATTTATCTATTTTTCAATAGAACATGTTCAAATAGTAACTACCATAGTGCCAGTTGGGGCCTTATTTGGAGACTAATCGTTCAAAGTTTAAAAGAAATGAAATTTAATTATTTAAATGTATATAAGTATTTTATTATGCTTTGCTTTATTGTGCTTCATGGATATTGCAGTTTTTACAAATTGAAGGTCATGGTAACCCTGCATCAAGCAAGCCTATTGGCACCGTTTTCCAACAGCACATGCTCACTTCTTGTCTCTGTCAAATCTTGGTAGTTCTCACGATATTTCAAACTGTTTCACAAGTGCTATTGCACACTTAATAAACTATAGTATAATATAAACATAACTTTTATATGCACTGGGAAATAAATTAATATCTGTTTGACTTGCTTTATTGTGATATGCACTTTATTGTGGTGGTCTGGAACTAAACTTGTAATATCTCCAAGATAAGACTATACCTACCACCATGAGTTTGATGATTTCCCAATACTTACGATTATTCTGATAAAATTGGTGGTGATACTAATGAATGTTAGTTTTTTGGCATTTCATTATGAAGTGTGTCAAGATTTGGAATATCTACATAAGCCAATAAACCAATATTTTCCAAATGATTAGTACACTGATATTATAAAATCACATAGAGGCAAAAGAACTATTTAAAGTGCATGATGTTGTTGTTGCATGATGTTGTTGTTGTTGTTGGGTGCCTTCAAGTTGTCTCTGATTCATAGCAACCCCATGCACAGCAGAACGAAGCACTGCCCAATCCCACGCCAGCTCCACAGTCCCTGCTATACTTGAGCCCATCATCGCAGCCATGATAGACCAATGATTTTAATGAAATTTAATACAAAAAGTTCATTGCTACATCTTCAGATTCCACATTGCAACTAACCTTTAAAAATTTATCTCTTCTTTCCGGTGGCCATCTAAGATGTTCTCCTCTCATCTGAATCAGAGAAGAATGAAGAAAATCAAAGGCATCTGGAAACAATTAGTCCAAGGAAAAGATGGACCACGAGGACCTCAGCCTTCTTGACCCTGAGACCAAAATTCAAAAACACAAAAATGACCAGAATTACTGGTCAGAATGAGTCTGGTGGAACCCCCAAGACTATGGCCCTGGGTTATTCTTCAGGCCTAGAAATGGACTCACTCCCATGGATTGGCTCTCAGCCCAACAGTAGAAAGACCTACATGGAGAACATCTACCCCAGGGCAATGCACCCACCCACTCTGGGGAGATGCACCCCTTAAGCAGTCAGCCATGAGATACCAGAAGGGCAGCATTCACATAGAGGGAAAGCTGGGCAGACAGGAGTGCATAGTTAAGAAGGGCACATGGAAGAGGGTAGTCACAGGGAGGGGAAGGGAGCAGAGTTTGTTATGGTCAGAATGGTAATTGGGGCATGGAATCAAATGTGCACAAAATGTTGAATGTAAAACAAATTTGCTTGGTAAATTTGTACCCAAAGCACAATAAAATTTCTTTTTAATTACCTCTTGTCAAGTTTTGGTATTGTATCAAAGAAAAATTTCTACAATTATTTAAAAAAGCTATTAAAATACTAGGTCCCTGGATGACACAAGCATTTTGCCATCAGCTACTAACCTAAAGGTTAAGAGTTTGAGCCCATCCAGCAGCTCTGTGGAAGAAAGGCCTAATGAACTGAACTACGGAAGTAAAGGTCACAGCCAAGAAAACCTACAGAGGAGTTCTACTCTGTAACACATGGCTACACATGACTCAACAGCAATGGATTATGTTGTGTTTATATTATTAAAATACTTCTTGTTTTTCAACGACATGTGTGTGAAGCTGGGTTTTCTTCATAAACTTCAACCAAAGTGCAACCACGTGGAAGGCAGATAATGGAGCCCAAAGATATGCTCATGTCCTGATCACTGGAATTTGTGAATGTTATCTTATATTTTATATCATAAACTTTTTGCAGATATAATTAAATTTAGGTTCTTGAGATGCATAGCTTATCCTGAATTATCTGGGTGGGCCCCAAATGGCATAATAAGTGTTTTGGTTTGTTTTTAATTTATTTTGGTGTGGTTGTTAGGAATATACACAGCAAGACATACTCCGATTCAATAGTTTCTACACATACAACTCAGTGACATTGATTACATTCTTCAAGTTGTACAACCATTCTCACCCTCCTTTTCTGAATTGTTCCTCCCCCATTCACATAAACTCACTGCCCCATAAGTTTCCTATCTATCAAGTTGCTGCTGTCAGTTTGATCCCATAGGGATAAATCTCAAAGAACACAATGCTCAGGGAAGACATTCTTTACTAGTTAAGCTAACCTATTGTTTGAATTTAAGAAGACTTCAAGGAATGTTTTTGGTTTAAGGTTTAAATAACATTATGATAAATGAAGAAAAGATTGAAGTTGTAAAGGATTTCATTTTACTTGGATCCACAATCAATGCCCATGGAAACAGTAGTCAGCTAATGAAATGATATATTGCATGGAGCAAATCTGCTGCAAAAGATCTCTTTAAAGTGTTTAAAAAAAACCAAAGATGAATAAGGAAGCCTGAAGAGGAATTGATGCCTTTGAATTATGATGTTAGTGAAGAATATTGAATATAATATGGAGTACTAGAAACACTAGTTTCTAGACAGAAACACTGTCAGGTATATTGCTAGAAAACTCTATGAATAGCCCTGAACCATTGTCCGATATAGTGCCAGAAGATAAGCCCCTCAGGTCAGAAGGCACTCAAAATATGGCTGGGGAAGAGTTGCTTCCTCAGAGTAGAGTTGACCTTAATGATGTGGATGGAATAAAGATTTCGGAACCTCCGTTTGCTGATGTGGCACAGCTCAAAATGGGAAGACACAGCTGCAAACTTCCATTAATAATCAGAACATGGAATGTACAAAGTATTAATCTAGGAAAATTGGAAGTTGTTGAAAATGAAGTGAAACACAGAAAGATCAATATCCTAGACATTAGTGAGCTGAAATGGACTGGTTTTGGCCATTTGGAATCAGACAACCATATGATCTACTATGCCGGGAATGACAGAGAGGAATGGCATGGCATTCATCATCACAAAAGATGTTTCAAGATATATCCTGAAGCACAA